CTGCCAGAATATTCCTGCTCGTTGTTTTGACAGTTGCCTCTTTTTTAAGACGACCCCTTTCCCGAAATGCAGAGTTGATACATCTCTTCTGTAGTTTTTGAGAGAGGAGAGGGACAAGATATGATAGAGGGGGTAGGGAAATGTACCGAAACTTAGGGCCAGCGTTATACCTCTATAAAATCCTAGTTTATCCCCAAACCAAGGAATAACCCCAGTAAATGTTTTCGCAGGACGAGGCCGTGAAAGCAGCAGGCAACACAGTCTCATTTGTATTCAGAACAAAGATGTTTGGACAAGACACCGCGCAGGAAAGATTGTGAGAAAAGACTGATGCACCTGTATAGAAAGTTAAATTTCATTTTTAATACGTCTTTTGCTGGTTAGCTTGTTTATGAGGATTTTGTGTCGCTCATGCTGTTGCAGATCTTTGGCGGCTGATGGCAACGTGACACTAGACGCAACGGAACTCAGTAGTTTGATCAGGGAGAATGGGGTTGAGGACCCAACTCAAATAGACTGAAACATCAACACAAAGCCACACACAATGAAAACTTTATAGTCTGTGGATACACAGACCCTGTGATGTAACAAGTGAAACGAACACTCTTCAATGATTATCTAAAAAAGTACGGACTAAACGTCAAAATACATTTACATTAACGGTAGGTCGCTTTTGATCTGTAAGAGAATTCTATTCTCATCAGTTGTCTCTTCTTAAGTAATGGATAAATTAATAAATTCCCTTGGGTTTACAAATGGCAATTATAATTTTTTTACTTCTCTCAAACCGTTTCCAGAGTCCCTTTCAATACTAAAAGCGCGCGCTAAGATAAACCCTGTTCAAATAATGACAGATTTTTACGAGTGAATAAAATTTCATTACAGTACTGAAAAAAAAACAGTAACAAAGTAGCGTGACATATTTGATTTTGAACAGTCTGTCTTTCCTCCGGTGTTTGACTCTTGTACTACGTTTAGTCTTTTAATGAAGTTTTCTGCCTCCTGTTACACACGTTTCACTTCCTTGGCTTTTTGTTGCAGTCATTGCTCTTAAAGTAAAGTCACAGACTTTTTCAAATGAATCACTGTCGTGCCTGTTTCAATAACAATACTATAGTACTTAAAAGATTTTACTCTGAGACTATCATAAATGATCGTGAGGTTTCTTTAGCATGAACTTGGTACTATTACAGTTAAGAAATTAAACAAAGTTTTCTCGTAAAACTGTCTGCTTTGGTCTTTATATCGATAAAACATGTGTTCCTGACGTTTACTCCGAAAGCCCGCTTAATACGGACACCCGGATAATATGGACACTATGGCATGTCCCCTTGGTGTCCGTATTAACCGGGTTCCACGGTATTGCGGTACCGTTCATTAGCGTTCTCCTTTCTAATGCAGGTCAATATTCGGAAAGCGATACTTTACAAAATTTGTGACAGTTAATCTACAATGGAATTGTTGTTGCATCCAATGACCGGGTTTTTCGATCGTTGGACCGATAAGATCGAGGTCTTCTCACGTTATCTCGCAATGGCTGAGCTTGATTTCTGGTGCATACCGTATTTATTCGATTAACCGCCCGGGGCGCTTATTAAATTTTTGGGCCTTGAGAAAGGGCGCTTATTCGAGGTTGGGCGCTTATTAAATTTTCACCATTCTCAGCAAGTGTAGTAGTATATTTTGCAACAAAACAGTAAATGGTGGGCCTGGTGGGCGCTTATTAACTTTTTCTGCCTTTAGCATGGGCGCTTATTCGAGGTGGGCACTAATTCGAAGTTGGGCGCTTATTCGAATAAATACGGTACATGCTTGAGATAAACAGACACGCGGGATGGATACAACTTTAAGTAAGCGTGACCGATCATAAATGCGGTATCGGTATTTCGTCTATTTTCGACACGGTATTTCAGGTATTTGCCAATTTTTCTTACGGTATTGCAGTATTGGGTACCCCCTATGTCCGCCTCGTACAACAATACCGACGGAGAGGCAGCGTAAAGGCCCGATAATTGGAACCCTGGGGCCCGTTTCTCGAAAGTCCCGATAATTAACGGGCCCGGTAAGCTGTTGCCGTTTACATTAAAGACCGGGGTTTCAGCAGTTTTGCATCTAACATGATAAAACTATCAGTTAATGAAACAAAATGGAGTAGTTTTTTAGCCAGGACCCGCGCTCTTACTCTTTTTATTTCTACTTGAATATTTAATTTCGGGCCAGAAAAGTTACCGGGCCTTTCGAGAAACGGGCCCCTGGACCGGGTTGTTCAAAACAGGGTTAAGATAAGCCAGGGTTAGTGCGAAATTTGAATTCAGATATGAAAGCTTAAAAAGCAAATTCAGTTTTATTCTTTTTCCCTACAATTTGATGATTGGATGCTCTAAAAAGAATAGAGAAAATTATCCGGGAAAATGCTTTTGAACAAAAGAAAAAGAAACCCAGGTTAAAATTTAACCCTGGGTTAGCACTAATCGGCCTTCGAACAACTGGGCCCACTGATGTTTATGCCCAACAATTCTACACCGCCGTGTACATTGATTACAATCAAGAGAGGATATTATCATCTCTTGTGACAATATCGGTCACAACAAAGTTTTATCTTTCCAAGAGTCATTACCAGGATTTGAAGTGCGACTGTAAACTCGCTCTTAGGTCTTTCACTCAATATGATCCTTGGCTATTCACTGATAAAATCCCTTAATAACTATTACTACTTTCGTTTGTACTGTTTGAGTCTGTCAATGAACCTATGGTGTGACCATGCAAATGAGACCACTTCGTCAACAGTACTTGAACTCTTTACATTGGTTCTATTTGTTGCTCGATAGTTCGTCAACAATAAAGCGCAAACAGCCAGCGAACAAGCTTTCTATTTGGGTGACGTCGTGAGAAGTCAAGTACGAGCGACACATACGTTTTCGCTCGCCCCACGATATGGAGCGCTTACTCGAAGCCTCAGTAATGCGTTAGTTGATTGAGAAGCGCGTTAATCGCGCGCTTACGTACGGTTTATCTCGGATAATAGAGAACTTAATCAACAGCGTTTTTGAGCGACGGACGTCAACCGGAAGTGGACTTTTTGCATCGCTGGGAAGTGGTTTGGTTGAGACTCTGGGGTAAATCGTCTTTATAAGAGATAAGAAACTAAGCAATACAAATTTGTTAGCATCAAGGCATATAAAAAGAGAGAAAGCCTCACTTCCGGTTGACGTGCGTCTCTCAAACACGTCCTTGCTTAAGCATTATTTAAGTGACGCTATGTGTGTTTTTTTTCTCGATCACTGCAGGCCATGGCAAGAGTGTGGAGAGATGGACAGAAGAAGACGGTGTACATTTATCGTCTTTTAACAACGGTGCTTGCTCTGGAATTTCTGATGACAAATTAAAATACAAATTTGACCTTAGCTCAGATAGTTGGCTGGGGCGGTACAAAGAAAAGTGAGCGGGAAAAAAACAACGAAGGAGTGCCGCTTTTCCCCCTCCGCTCTGCTTTTTGCGCCACTCTCCATTGTCTGAACGCCTGGAACAGGCCATTTTGAATGAAGAGAAGGGCTGATTCACACTGAGACGTTTTTCGTGTTAGACAAGCTAAGATAGAAATACAGCAAAACTTATAATTCTGACGATGATTTGCAAAATAATACGGAGCACCATCAAAGAATATCAATAAAACAGAAACCAAATGTGCCGACATGAATATTAACAACACAAATGTACAAGAGAACAGCGAGTAACTCAGTTTGTAAATAGTTCACTCCAATGAAAGTGGTCGTTGTGGGGAGGTTAAGGACTGCTGCGCTGACTTAAGTAGCCGTTGCCGATGTTGAGATTCGACTGTATGCATTTCCATGGCCTTTTTTTTTTTTTGCCTTTGGTTATTATTTTTTGTAATGTACCGTGTTCAAGGCTTCCTTCAGGTCTTTATATTTTGCTATGAGCCCCAGTCTTTTGGAGTAGGCTACTTGCACTAAGAGGTCACGTGACCAATGCTTCCTTTAAACAATGTGTTGGAATCTTGCTGATGCCAAAAACTGACAGAGCGCATAAAAATTATCTTACACCCGAAATTTGAGAGGAAATGCATTTAAGGGGGATATTTTATAGCACTTTGATTTCTCAACAAAGTAGTATGATTTGTATTGGCTGCCATGTTGGAGGGCATACTCTTGCCCTCCAACATGTTTGCAAAACTACTTTTTGCTTCTATCTTGTTAAACGTTTGGTAGTTAGGTTCAGATGTGCTGAGAATGTTACCACATCATCTTTTCAACAATTTCCTTGAAGTGTAAGTGCAAAATTTGTGTTCAGAAAGAGGTAATTCATAGTTTTAAAAACACATTTTGGTCACATGACCAGCTACGAACTTACTCATTTTAAGAAAATGGTGCAGGTTTGAAAAACTAAATCATTATTATTTTATTTAAGATATGACCCACTAATGGTTTTTTGAAGGCTAAATCATATAGCTTTCATTTTCATAAAAATGATGTCACATGACCTCTTAGTGCAAATGGCCTATTGTTCGTCACTCAATGACATGGAACATACGTTGCTTTTGTAGGGAACCATTGAAGAGAAGATTTACCAACGTCAAACTGCTAAGCAAGGATTGAGCGGAACAGTAGCCGATGCCAAGGAGACGGTGAAGGTTGAATTCTCACGGGACGAGTTAAAGGTGAGCATCCAATCCGATTGGCTATTTCTAACATTTGTGTCGTCTGTCTATCCTGGGTGCCAGAGACGTTTCCGGTTTCTGTCAAGTCTTTGTAGTGACCCGCTCTTGGCTTCGGCCTACCGCCGAAGATGTGTCGGCGTTCGGCCGACACCGAAAATTCCCGCCGCACGCGCGAGAAAAACCTCTGGTACCCTGGGTATCGTCTGCCAGGATAAAATCCTAATGCGTCCTGTTGTTATAGCCACAGAACATTACCTTGTTAGCGAGCAGGGCTGAGTTGCTCAAAGCATGGTTAGCTTTAACCATTGGTTAAGCAGTATCAAAACCAATACGTTGTCAAGGTATTAAACGCCGGACAACGCTAACCATGCTTCGAGCAACTGGGCCCAGTACTTTTCTGTCGTCTCTTATTAATTATGCCACATAAGTTGGTTCCATCTCGTGTGTGTGGTACTTCGTTATGTTACTGTATATTATGCTTCATAACGTAGTGCCCCCTTTGTGCTTACGTATAAAATCTTTTTTTCAAACATGGCCATGGATGAATTTCCTGGAATTGACCTCGTACGGACTCTATTTAAGTACAAAAAAAAAGAGAAAGGAAAATTCGTCGTCGTATGTTCAATCACGTCGTCTATAAAACGTTCCTTCGTGATTTTTCACGTCGAAGTCGTTCAGTTGTAGTCAAGGAAATGTACCAAAAAGCGTGGCGGATGAGTGTGAACAGCTGTTGTTTTGCTCATATAACCCGTCGTCGTGGTTACTTAAGCCCCCCTCCCCCCACCCAATACATTCACCAACAATTGTCACAGTACTGATGTTGTGTTTCCAACTCACAGGACTTGTTTACTCTTCATGAAAACAGTTTATGTCTGACGCATGATCTCCTGCAGTACACGTGTATGGCGTCTGAGGTGGGTATCTCCAGTAATGTTTTCAAATGTGGGAACGGGCCTATCAACATGAAGGGTGTTGCCGTTGTTTACTCTTTGAATAAACTTAAACTTCGCCAACGGTTTATTGAGGAGCAAGTGCGGATCGAGAGACTTGAACTTATTGTTTTTCTTAGAGTATCATTCATTCACTGGGCTTTTGGGTACTGCATTTATCTCTGTTACATAGGGGTCTCGTCCATGCAAACATTTCTTTGCAGTTCTCCTCTTATTCACTATTTTGCTTACTTTATTTTCCCTTCTTTTTGTCCTTTTGAATATCCCGCTATGAACAGTCTTTGATGCGATCCAGGTAGGTAGTGATCCTTACCTGGATAAATTCTAGTTATGCCGGGAGTCATTATGATTACATTTTCTGCGTTATGTGGATATTGAATGCTATCTGTTATGCGCTGAATTGTCTTTGTTTTGTCCTCTTTGATTAATCTTTTTAGGCAGTTTCATCTTTCTTTCCCTCCTTTCTCTTAAAATGTAATCCGAAATAACTCTCGGAGAAAAACCATGAAAAGTGTGGGCGAATTTAGAGTTAATGTCAGAGGCTAGAAATTAAATGCAACCCGGCATATTCTGAGAAGCATGATTACGAACAATTTTCTTCACGATTTAATTTGTTATTAGTTATTTTGAAAAAAAATTCATGACCTTTACCTTAGAATAAGATTTTACTTTTGAAGCTGCGGCAATTTATGAGCCCTAGGAGAACCAAGACTCGTTCCCAGAGCCCGTCGTTTCTTCCTTCCGCATGGTTGATAAAGCCGACGGGGCCCTGGGAGCTGTCTGTCACTGTCCAGCGTTTGCATCTAACACAGGGACACAGTCACCTTGTCGAAATAAACTGTATTCAGCACTAAGGTAAGTGCACTTATTTGACAAATTTTGTACATATGCTTGAATTTACTTCATTCCGTTGAACTCTTTTTGTGCATATTGAGTAATCGCTGTTTTTATGTGGCCGGTAATCGCGGAATGTTTTGAAAACACTTAATGATCAGCAGTCCGAGATTTCAAATAATCGGGGGTTGAAGCGGAATCTTTGAATCTTTATATTCATGATTCCTGTCGTTTTTGCCTCAATGATTCATGACTCATGATTCACGAAGACTTCTTGATCACCTATTGATTTAATGATTTTCTCAGGGACAACTTAGTTTCGTTTTGTGTTCTTTGGTGTTCAAACTTCTGCTTCATTCAGACTTGGTATCATCATTCGTTTTGTCTCCGCATGGAGTTTTTCTGTAACTGAACATTAAGCACAAGGTTACTGGAGAAACAAGCGGACTGTCAGCCCCGAATGCACGAATTATATAGGGGGGGTTGAAAATTGGACTCTCGGAAACGCCATATCCTGCATTCCCTGCATCGAACGCAATTAATTCATACGTGTATTTTGTTGAGCTTTTCTCAGAGTCTCGTTTTTCATAATTACCAAGTTTTTAAAAGAAAGATTCATGATTCTTACATGTTTTGTTACGATGATTCATGATTCCGCTTCCATCCCCGAAAATAAATTTTTCAAATCGAAGAATGGCAGCCAATCCAAACTAACATTTGTCTGTTAAAAAAAGTCAGGCGATTCTTTACAGATCTCAAGTCTAGCTTTGGTTTAGGCAGGGGTCAGAAAACAAAACCATGATGATGTTTTGTGACATTCAGAACCTTTTTCAGGTCGACTGCCACGTGTCAAGGTTTCCGGAAGTCCACCTGAAAAAGATTTTGTGTCACAAAACACGGTCTTTGTTTGCGCAACCCAAACAACAGTCTTGAGCTCTATAAAGTACTTCAGGATCATTCCACCCCCCGGGCGGGGGTACCATATATGGGCTATATAGATATGTGCCGCTGTGAAGGGTATGGTTTTCAAGCAGTTTACTCTGGGATAGGGTATATAAATCAGAGCGTTTGGGTCTAGAATAGGGTATCATTTTTCAGGAAACTGATCAGTTTGGTATAAGGTTTTGTTTTTGCTAGACTGTGCTAGTGACCTCAGTAGTTTCTGGAAAACAGCTGCTCTAGGATAGGGGGGTGGGATTTGGGGAGTTTACTCTAGTATAGGGTAGCAAAATTCCGCTGAACTAGCTCTGGTATAGGTGAAGGTTCCAGGGTCCCGGCGGCACATCCCCACCCAGAAATTCTTAAAGTACCCCCCCCCCCGGCATTTCACCAAAACATGAAAGTTCCATTTGGTAGGGCTTTTTCGATTTGTCAAATTTATTAAAAACATCGGACTGTCAGTCATTTATTGTTTTTCATCTTAAAAATTAATCAACTCAATATCGCAGTTTTATTTAATCAGAGTTCTATTAAAGCAGTTGACAGTTAAGTTGTCATTGTTTTCAGGGTACTGCAGATTACCATGTACGACGTTTACGTTACCAATAATCAAACCGAAAATGTCTATGTGAGGTTGAAGCCTCAAGAACTTTCTTCTGTAAACCCAAAGTTTCATCAAGAATTACACTCCCTGGTGAGAGAGGGCGAAATGGATAAATCATACATTCAAACATTCTTACTACGATGGGGTTTTCGCTTGATTCCTCCTCGACAGACAGTGCCATTTGTAACTGTGGCTTGTAGTAGTAGTGGTGGAACCCTTATGTACGCTTCTTTGTATGTCCGGTCAGAATTGTGGGCTATGGATGAAGAAGTCGACTTCCACAAATTTGGATGCCTGTTTGTCAGAAGTGATTATACGCCGCCAACCGTGAACCCAATAGGTAGTTTTAGTTTTAGTTTTAGACAGGTTAATCCTGAGCCAGTTTGGATTGGAGCACATGAAGGTGATAATATTCCGACAAATGCTATCAAATCATCCAGCGGTTTGGAAGTAGAGTATTTTGGTCGATTGGTGAATGGCGGGCCATGTGGTGTGTCTGTTACCCCCGATAATAAGTGCAGTGAGTGGAAGTCGAATACTATGTACGGGCTCCTTCAGACATCTGGTGAAATCCTGCAAGCTACTGGCCATCAGCTTTATCGAGTTAAAAGTGGCGATCCCATACCTCCTAACGCCGTGATTGTTGGAGTAAGTGGTACTGAAGGATCACTTTACCTTGGAAGGGTTGGTGGTAAAATTCCGTGCTCAGTCAGCACAGAAGATGGAAAAATTAAGAAGTTTTTTTATCCTACCGGAGACGAAACTGATTTTGAAAGTTCGAGTGGTGAAATCCTTGTTCTGACAAAAGGCACTGCAGCTTAAATTTTAGTGGACGATCAGTATTTGCATCAGAGACAAGCAATACGATTTGAAAGTGTAAATCGTTCGATGCAATAGTGCAGATGGTAGCTTTAGACTAGTATTATGATATTTCGAAATGCTTTTAATCAATTTTTTTAATACTCATTTTCATTTTCTTGTTTAATTCAGATTTACAGTTTTCTTTTCTCACTACCCACAAATAGCAAGGCTAGTCTAGGTGGGCAGCGTCTATATAAAACAAATACGCACTCCAAATTGTATTCAATTGACTAGTCAACAAAAGTAATTTAGAGTGTGAGGTATATAGTCTGCTACACAGCCGTTTTCAGTGTCGTCACGCAACGTTCCTCCCTCCTTCCTTCCTTGTAGGGAGGAACGTTGCGTGACGACACTAAAGACGGCTGTCTAGCAGACAATGCGGTACATAAATTGTACAAATACTAAAGAGCAGAAGAAAAGGTACGTTAAAAACAATGCTGAGGTTGACTGGAACAAGAATATAAATCAGAAACCTATAAGTTATTAAAATGATTGCAAAGATAATGATTGGGTGAGTTACGGACGATTTTGCAATGTTAGAGAAAAAAATACTGCAGCTTATTGCATAGTAAGAGGAGCACATAGAGAAATCGATAATAGTCAAGAGTGGAAATTGAAATTTATTTGTTATTTTCATTTCGTCTGAGTGCGCACAATGATTATCGGCATTAACAAAATTACACTAAACATCGGTGCCACTTCATATGTATCAAACAATGCTCAGTAATGATTAAAACTATTTTTAGCAGCGTTATTCGTGCTGCGGTGGTTAGCTATGAAAGCTACGTTCCCTTAACCACTCTACACTTCTTTCGAAGCCGTTTACTTCTTTTCTTTTCTTCTGTTATTTGTTATTTTGTTCCTGTTACTATCTGACAAATGTAAATATTAAATAACTGTAATTGCGACCCATTTTCAGCTCCTTTCTGACCCCTCCTAATACGACATTCGGCTTAAAATGCCGAAGCTATGCGATACAGGCGACACTATGATCTATCCGCCCGCCGGTAAAGTATGCGAGATATGCCTGGGGCACCTCGTGTAGCATTATGTACCCCACCTGTGATAAATGTTCCTTGGCAGTTTGTAGAGACCTTTAGATTTTACGACGTAGGAGAACGAGATTTTCTCAATACTAGGTTGTGCAGGCGGGTAAGCCAGCGTCATTTGGAAGGAAAATGTGATAGCCGTCGTCACAGCTCTACTATGAGTTTTAGCGAGAATGACGGAAACAAGTTATAGAATGTTAGAAGTTTATTATTTTTGCTATCGAGAGAGGGTTAATCTCTTTCAATAAAATGTAACGGCGCCTCCTTTTCTAGTAAATATGTGCGATAAAAATGTTAAGTTAAATCGCAGGTTACAATTCTTAAGGTCTCGTAGAACAACCACAGCCAAGTTTTGTATTTTTCTTTTACCAAGAGACGCGCAATCCACAGTAAGAAAATTGTTTAACGGTGCCTACATAAATTATCTTGAAATACGTTTTGCGGTGTTCGACGGTATAGCTTTGAGGCCTTGACGGTATCGCCCCTTTTATTAATTTCACACAAATATGGCTCCGGTTCTAAGCTGGAAGCAATGCTTTACTTTTTCTTTTTCCGCAAACAGCGAGGTATCGGTGCCAGCATGAAAACGGAAAAAAAAGACACTGGCATACTGCTTAATTCCTACTGCACTGTATTTCATTCGCTTTTTAGAGTGAAAGAGATAACGAAGAATGCCAATCAGAGCAGCCTACAGTCAATCTGCAATCGAGCAGAAATGTAACCAGGCCTTGTCAGTTAGGATTCGACAAGAACCTCAGTAATCAAGTATGTGTTAGTCTAGATCTCCTACTTAACCGTTCTTTGTGTCGTTACTCAGACCCGTGTAGAGTGGGATTGGGTAACATCAGAAGACCTACTGCAGAGGAGAGTAAGTTTTTATACGGTATAGATTTCATTTAAGGCGTCTTCTTCAGCACTCAACTTGGATCAATTCCATCACTCATTATCAGCTGGTGTGACGATAACGCTTTGGAGGCGAGGCAGCCGAGCAGTTAACTTCTCTAACTTCAGATTTCGTACTCATTAGGAACACAGGAAGAGAGAACCTGGGAACAAGATTGTCGCTTGACTTGAGTTATGAACATTTTGACGTCATTTCTATGAAAAACCGAACAATGGAAATCGTTGTCACTTTGTTAAATATTTTTCACTGCAATAACTATTTGACTGAGATTCGCTTTTGTGATGAAATTAATCACTTGAAACTTTTTTAATTAACAGAATTTATCAATAGCAGAGCTGATGGATTGGCAACATTTTCCATGTCCTAGCGTCCCTGCTTCAGATTTTGAGGTAAATACTGTTTACTTTGAAACACTACCAAGCTCTAATGTTGAGTTATAAATGTCTTAAGTCGATAGATCCAAAGTACATTGCCGATTTTCTGAATTTAAGGATGTATGTTATAATCTAAGTGATAATGGAAGTAACTTGGTACAGCCTCATTTTAACACTGAGTGGATGCATAAATCCTTGTCATTCACAGCAAGCAAGTTATGGAATAAGCTCCCGTTATATATTAGAAACGCCGATAATCTTTACGTAATCAAAAAGGCTCTTCAAAAGTTAAATTTAGAATCTTTGTACTAGCTTTGACTTGAATTTGTAACTAAGTTAAGTTTAATTATTACTTTTTTTATATGAATATATATTTTTATGTAAAAGATATTAGATCTTATGTATATATAGTTTTGACTTTTGTCTTTTACTGCGTTCTTGTATATCACGTGCACTTTCGAACGAGTGTTTTTGTAAGCTCTTAGGTGTTACGTGTATAAATAGTCTATTACTTCTAATATTACTACTTCCCGTAGGGGAGTAGTAGTCTCCCCTCTCTCTTGTGTCTCCTTGCTCGTGCTGCTCCCGCGTTAACACCGAAATGGAGATCCCGCTTGCAGGCCTCATCTGGATCGTTCGAATAGTCCCGGGAAACTTTTAGACGATCCAGGCGACTCCGTTTATTCCATCTCAGTCCCTGAAGTGGTCTAAAGCACACAGCCATATCATCTCTCGATCGCCTGACGACATTTTGAGACGATCTGGACGATTATATGGAAACCAGACTATATACGGATTTCGGTTCTATGCAAGTGATTGGTATAGTCCCAATCACTCTTCATTGTATCAAAGGTGTTTCTATATAAAGCCCTAAACACATTTTGAGACGACTCAGAGGACAAAGACGATGTTAATTACCAGGAAACTATCAGAATTTCTTCAAGAGTTTTTTTTATCATTTGAAAGGCTGAATGATGGTTATCAGTTTTAGAGGCACCTGCGAATCGGTTTGAATAATTATTGTAAATTGCGCTTCGATGTTTGCATATCCCAGTACCAGAACATTCTTCCTCGTTTTTTGACAATTGCCTCTTTTTTTGAGACGACCCCGTTCCTGAAATGCAGAGTTGATACATCTCTTCTGTTTTTTTCAAGGGAGGGGAGGAAGCGGGGGGAGAGACATGACAGAGGGGTAGGGGAAATGTTCCGGAACTTAGTGCCAGCGTTAGACAATCCCAGTTTATCCCCAAACCAACGAATAACCTCAGTAAATTTCTCGCAGGACGAGGCCGTGAAAGCAGCAGGCAACACAGTCTCATTTGTATTCAGAACAAAGATGTTTGGACAAGACACGGCGCAGGAAAGATTGTGAGAAGGCACTGATGCACTTGTATAGAAAGTTAAATTTCATATTTCATACATCAAATATTTTGTCAAGTTTATTCGAATATTTTTTTATTGAAACCAGGGAATAAATGAGTTGAAGAGAGTATATTTATCATCGTGGGGCAAAATTTGTATTTTCTTTTTTCTTTCTTTTCTTTCTTTTTTTTTATTATGTTTTGCGGCACCTTTGCGTTCTTCCCAACTTTCCTCTTTCATTTCGAAAGCTTGCCTTGCAGGCCCAACTGATTACGCCGTCTCTTTTAGAGAAATGACACACTTATCCTCGCGACTGCAAACTCGCCGAAATTGATTGCAGAGTTTTGGAAATCAGTAAGCTCGCGTATTTGGTAATAACGTTTTATTCTGAAAACAGCAATAAAAAAAAAAAAGGAAAATGTGCTTTTATACGAGTCCTGGCTAAATTTACCCTTTAAGGGAATGAAAGCGTTCTCGAAAATGCACATTTTCAAGGCAGTGAAGTCGGATCAGTTTAATTAACTCATCTTCAAGGACTGTGAAAATAGACTACAAACAAGTATTAATCAACTGTTTTTGGCTATACAGTCTTGATTTTTAGCTACAATACTTACTAGTGGTATAAAAAGGTACCTATATTACCTACATTTTTTAATCTCAAGCCCAATTCTGCCAGCTTCTTTTGATCTTCTTTCACCTACGAAGGAAACAGTATGAAGAAGTCATGGAATTCCCTATGAAGAAGTTCAACAGAAAGTTGTTCAAACGTGATGATGACATGGTAGGGCAAGGGTGGTTCAGTGGTGAGAACACTCGCCTCCCGCCAATGTGGCCCGGGTTCAAATCCCGGCGTCGACGCCATATGTGGGTTGAGTTTGTTGTTGAGTCTCTCCCTTGCTCCGAGAGATTTCTCAAATGTTAGTTTTCCCCTCTCCTCAAAAACCAACACTTGCAAATTCCAATTCGACCAGGTAGACCAAAAACCAGCTAGTGGAAGTGCTACCTCCAAATCATTATTTATTATTTATTCAATATTTAAGTGGAAGTGAGTGCTATTTAGTTTATATAGGCACCCCACTCAAATGATAGCAAACCAATGTAATGTTATTTTGAAAATACCGCTATTAAAAATCCTCCCCAACTGGTAGAAACAAAGTAGCTGCCTAGTTACAAGCGTGACCGATGAGTTGAACTCGGTACTACTAATCAAGAAACATCTCCAGTTAGTAGTCATTGTGAGACTAAAACCCAAGACCCCCAGACGGGAAGTCTGACGAGCTGGCACTCAAACAAGCTGCCTCGTTAAGCGTATGAGCGTATATAGGTTTACGTCAGGTATATAAGTTCTTTTTTTTTCTTTTTAATCATGAAATCTTCTCGCTCCGTTGGCTTTCTGATTCGATTCTTGAACATGCTTCGGACCATGTGTTCTAATTAAGTTTTGTTGTGTGTTTTGAAGCGTCATTGATAGTTAATTCGACCTGCTGCAGACACTTGTTGCCTTGTGGCCCGTCTCATTATGATAACGTGCTTCGAAAAACATATCCCGCGCGTGGCCAAAACAAATTACTTACGTGTGCATGTGGAATACTAAAAATGTTCTGATCAAACGTTCGAGTCAGTAATGGAAAAAGTGTCTTCTCTGTAGATTGCATCCATTCGATTCCATTTGAAACAAGTACCGTCCCACTTAAGATCTTATCATCGATTCTTTTGCATTATTTTCACCCGTTTTTGATGGACGCCCTGTCGAGAAAGAAGCCAAACAAGAGAACGGAACGTCACGATTGGTAGCGCTCTGACAATTTGGAATCAAATAATAAAAAGCTTGAGGGTTATGGCGCTGGTGGGGTGACCTCTCTACGCCCCTCTCTCTGATGTAATATTTGCAAATCTCAAGTGGTTAGTGAAATGCTGGGCTGTTTTCATGAGATATCGCTTTGTGCGACGCACTTTGTAAGAGGAGGCGTCCTGAAGCATGAAGATTACAAAACAAGTCACTTCTTGTTTTATTTTTGGATTATTGGCGATCGTGTCCGCAATTGAAGGTACAGTACAAGTTGAAAAAAAATTACTTTAACTTTTAACTTGAAGAAAAGAGACGACAACAGCACCACCAGAAACGTTTTACTCGATGGCTTTCGTACGAATTATCACTTGAGGGTTTATCGTTAAGTTCACAGTTAGGACCATTTTTTTCGAATCTCAATTGAATTCTGTGGGCAGGAATGTGATGTTCTCCTACTGTGCCTTTTTGTTATGGGAAACGCCCTCCTTATCACTGTCTTTAAAACCTTTAAAATGGGTGTTTGTTTTAGTTTCGGTAAATGCTTTCAAGTCAGATAACACTGATATAAAGGTATATACGTCAAACCCCGTTAATACGGACACTGAGGGGGGCATAGAAAGCGTCCGTCTGTATTAACGGTGTGTCTGTATAAAGCGTGTTGAATTTAGAGAAAATGTAATGGTTTTCTTTCCCCTGGGACAAATCAAACAGTCCGTTATAATGAGGTTTCTGTATTAAGCGGGTGTCCATAAAGATTGGTTTGACGGATAGCTATAAGCGTCGATCAGTGTTTCTGTTTTTTACTATTACCATTTTGTTGCTCAATTTTCTTTGTTTTTCTTTTCTTCTTTTTTTTTACGATTTGATTGTCTTATTCACATTTTAAAAGTCTTTTCGCCATAGGCTGTAAATATAACCGTATGTCTCTTGGTTGACTAACTTAGTACCATAATTTGTGATTGACACCTGTCGCGTTGCTACCTGTAAGACACCATTTTCAAAAGCCATTAGTAGATTGGGAGGAGCTTCAAGTCGACTAATGAAGGGATTTTCCGAACACTGTCCGAAGGTTTTATTATCGTTTCTGAACAGTTTCCCACGTAGTTAACGAAGGTTAACGAAGTTCACTAAAATTTCCGAAGAAGATTTTGCTAGGGTCTCAAACGTATTTGATTAAGCAATCAATAAACAAAATATGATAAAGCAAGACAAAGCAATGTATTTGTTTTTCTGCAAATGTTCTAGGACTGCTCTCTACATTCCTTCATGATAGTTTTCACTTACATTCAGTGATACTTTCGCGAGCATTACTTATTATACACTTGATTACAGAGGCCGCTCTAACTTAAGAGTCGATTACAGTCACTGTCATCCTTTATTGTAGCGTATTGTTCTCTATAAAAGTGTGGCTGTAAATAAGTTCCAATTCCGCCGTTTTCTTGAGTCTGCTCCTTTTCGGGTCGCGGACTCATTTTCGGAACAGCGGCTACTAATCGAATCTAACTATCTCATAAGTTCGGATCATTCAACTACTTCTTTCCTAATATTCTGTTTGTCTTTTACATCCCCCAAAATAACCTTTAAAAGCGATTGCATGAGAGGGTAATGTGCATTATAAATTGAGATAAATTTGTGCGTTTGCCCGGCGACAGATCAAGATGAACAAGATAATCCAGATGTAGAAGCAGACGAGGCTGCTGATGCTGCAGCAGCTGGTACATCAAATTTTCGACCTTCCACGCATGCGCCAGGACCGTGGTTTGAACGCATCATGGGTTAGTGATAAACAGCATATACAAAGTAATCGAACGCAAACGTAGTTCCAGTTGTTGCTTGCCTACTCAGTTACGTACTCGAAAAGCGGAAATACGTCTGCGTTCGCAGGCTATTAACCAATTTCTCGAGGATTTTTTCCGTAGAATGTTCAAAATTTGCCCGAAAACTCCCCGAAGCCATTAGGATCGTTTTCAGATATTCTCGAACGTCGCCAAATACTTCCAAAGAGTCCGAATTGGCAAAAGGACGACGTTAATGGGATAGCCTTTGCAAGAAAACAAACACAAATTCTTAAGTTATCCCTTCATTTATGAAATCTATTTCTTGTTGTTGTTGTGACAGGCTTACTAGGTAAGTTTTTAGTTTTAATTAATACTGACTTATCCATAGGTCTTATACGTTCCAAGAACTTCCGTAACATTTACAAGAATTACCTGGGTAATAGAGGAGATCAAGACTCCACTGACACCTCATTTAACGAACTGTCGAGGCGGAACTTTGCCCCAGGCCCTGTGAAACATGTCTACGTGGAGGAGAAGAAAATAAGGCACCACCACCCTCATCATAAACGTCATCATCATTATCGACATAAACATAGTAAGAATTACATTGATTATTATTATTATTATTATTATTGTCATCATCATCATCATTATTGTGTCAATGACAAAATGCTTAAATTTGATTGGTTCTTAACAGCCCATATTGCTCAATTTGGCTACTGCGACACCTGTAAATGTCCGATTTGACCTGTTCGAGGAGGAGCTTGGAATTGGACGGGTCATATGGGACAGTTAAACAGCCAATCAGAATCAATTAGTAAATGTTACTAGTCAATGAAATTTAACTGCATAGCCCATGATAACCAATCAAAATCAATGAAAAAATAATGAGTGATCACGCTATCCTGCTTCAGCTTAAAAAGAAACATGGACGAAATTAACTGGCCCAGTGACTTTAATTCAGATTTGTTACTTTTAACTTTGACAAACTGTTATACACTATTGATTCAGAAAGCCTTCAAACCAAAAAAAACGAGAGCGTTCCTGTAGCCTGCGTGTCAGGCGCAGAAAAGGAGAGGGGAGGGGAGGGGAAGAAAAACTTGAGAATGATGACTGGCAGCTTTCGAAACTGTCGACATCTGTAAGGATCAAAATTTGGCCATATTTAAACCATTCGCCCCCGAGAATTTAAAGCTTAAATTAAAGCCAGACGGGCCGTTTTTTGGTCACTGTTTGACTATAAAGAGCCAAAACTGCCCAGAAACTCCTTTATAGATGGAGCACTTCGCCGCCTGCTGCGCCAGGTGCAAAATATTCCGAAGTTCCTGCATGCGCAGAAGGTACAACAGTCTGGACTTTTACCTTTGGCTTTCCCTCCTGCCCTCTTCTTTCGCTTTTCTTGGCTTCTTTTCTCTTTTGTTCCCTTGATACTAGGTTTTATTTCGAAGTTTCAATGGAATTTTCAGGTCAACTTTTCATAGTTTTCGCATTTTTCTCTGTTCTCCTTGACTGAATCGGGCTCATTTTGGCATGGCTGGAAAGATCTCTTCCCCCAGAACAAGTTAGATGGCAAAGGTATCCACTAATGACGTCACAAGCGACTCTGACGCACCGGCGGTTACCTGCGGTTCAGGGTCGAACGGGTTAAAGCATTTATTTCCGCTTCTACCGGTTTTTGTTTGGTAAGAAGCTCTTATTCGCGGCGCTTGCCCTAAGCGGGCTTCTATTTTGGATGGTCCCTTACTGGAGGTTCAAGTATACTTAAGTATTAAAATGCTACACTTTCACTGAACGTAAGACCCTTTTTTTCCTTTGCTCTGTTACAGAGGCCAAGAAATGGGCGAACGTGAAAATAGTCAACCAAGTTGGTACACGTGTCAAGATAAAAGCCAACAAGATCCTTCCAAGTGCTGTACTGAGCAGTGGCGAAATTTTCGTCTATCATCGGTTTCTTAACGGAAAAGACCGAAAGGCTAAAATCACTCTGAAAGCAACAGATGAGTACACGGACAAACCATTGACCATAAATGGAGTTGCCAAATTCACTGTAAGGCCAACGACATATGATGAGCCGCAGGAGGCCTATGTTTATCGATCAGGTGGGTGCGATATTTGTGTTCTGGTCTTTTGACAAAAAGAGATCTGTTCAAAAGAAGGTGAAGTTAGCAAAACATTTTTTCAAACAGCAGTAAACTGCCGTTTCCATAGGTGTTTCTAAGCCCCCCCCCCCCCACTTCCCCACTTATGAGCCCCTCCTTGTAAGCCCCCCAGTTATAGGCCCATCCACCAGTAAACAAAAAAAATACACCAGGTTATTAGCCCCCCCTCCCCCATGATATGAGCCCCCCTCTAGCTTGTATTAAAATGAATTTGATCTATTACGACGTATTGAAGCATAATTAGAAACCAATTAATGCAAAATGTACTTTGATCATCACTGCTATGGCTCGTTTCGAAGCCATTTTCTCCTCCTGTTGTAAATCCACTCGAATCGAAGCCCCTTCATTTATGAACCTTCCTAATATCCCTTAAGAAGATGTATAAGCACAGGCTTTAGAGGCGGCAGTTTACGGTGTTACAAGGACGAAAACAAATCAAATGTAAGAGATACTCTCAACATCAATTGCTTTCGTGCCCACCAATATAGCCGAGTTTCGCAACGTGAGCAGAACGAACTGTTCTAATTTTTTGGCGGGCCACTGCGTTTGTAAACGTACCGAAGTAATCGTAATGAAGAAAAGAGGGTTAATGGTAGCTTATATAGAAGAGCTTTGAGTATTTATGCTGACGCCCCTCCAACTGTATTCTCGTTAACTATAGACTCAAGAAGTGGTGTCCTGGATTTTCGTCACGGCCACATTTACAAGAATTTAGGCAAGTGCTACATGTTTTTCTCACTAATAGTTGATTTCCAGTGTCGCGTAATTGTTACGAGCGCGCGTGCGGAAAAATTTACGTTCGCAAATAAAAGGGAGGCAATGCATGAAAGGTCGCTCGTAAGCGTAAAAGTTGAACCTCGCTCAACTTCTCGTTTAAGCTCAGCACTTTTTATCTGGCCTCTATTTTATTTACGTGATCAAAATTTACGTGCGTTAACGTGCGTAGCCAAAAACGCGTCAGTGGAAATCCACCTTAAGACGTCTACCTCACCAACGTACGGAACGTGTTTTCCTTTTCAAATGATTCAAACCCGGAGAAATTATGCGTCTTTAATGCGCAACTTTCTATTTTCAAATTAAAAAAACGCATCCGTGTGGACAGGCAGACGAACCTCCCGCAAAATACCACCCAGAATGCAAAGAGCGCTCACAAGAGGTGGTCGTCTACGAGAGGTTCTGACTTGCTGTTCTTTGACTGGAAAACTGTAAACGAGAAGCGAAACTGGGCCGAGTTAAATAGCGCAAAGAATTCTGGGATCGTTACTGGGGAAGCGCCTGTCAGCTATTGGCCAATATTTTTTCCCTCTCCCCAGTAACAGTCCCAGAAGTCTTTGCGGCCCAGTTTCATCTTCGTTTCCAAAGTGGCGAATCGTCGTCAGGTGCACATGTAATCTCGTACCCAGATCTCCCACTTTTCAGTGTAAAACAGAGTGAGATCTGGGTACGAGATTAGTGTACATGTATTCTTTCTTTTAAATCATTGCTTCTTTCCTTAGGTAGCGATAACAGATGGTTTTACGTTAAACTCATAAACCACGCGGGAGGCCACTCCAGAATAGTCCCGGATCAGATCCTCCCGGCTACCACAGTTAATGCCGATGAATCGCAGGTGGAATACGCGCGCCTGGAGCCTGGGGATGAGTACAAGAGAATTGTGCTAAAAGCGTTTGACGCTATGACTGAGGAGCCGCTCAAGCTTAATGGAGAGTACAGGCTGGGCTTAAGGCCTGATGACGCAGGGAATGTTGCTAAAGTAAAGGTTACTCGAGGAGGTACGTGATTCTTTACGCGCGAGAATTCCTGCCACATTTTCGTCCAGACGTAAAACCAGACTCAATTGGGACTTGCGCACGCACGTTAATGTTTTCCATTTTCTCAATGACGTCGTGTTACGTGCATTTTTGTTAGAGACTCAAGTTCTAAGAAGTGTTTAGGGGGTATATAGTGGTTTTCTTTCTTCTACATACCTTTCCTTTTATTTTCTTTTATATGTTGGTGTAAGCGTTCGTGATGAGACAAACTGATGATTTTCTGAGTTTCTACTTTCACGAGGAGATCTTAACACGTTTTTTTGGTTCGAGTTTTATTTGCCTTGGATTTGGCTCAAAGAAAAAAACACTACCAATTTAAAAAAATATTCGTCTATAAGAAATATTACTGTGTTTTTAGGGGTATAAAACTAGATGGTTTTCTTTGGTGTTCCTGAAAGGACACCAACATGGCTTTCCTTTTATTTTCTTTTTTGAAATGTTGGTGTATATTTATCTTTTTCATTTCCCAGATTCTTCCTTCTGTATTTTTTGCATTTTTATTTTTATTTCTCTTATATTACTTAAATATTTTATAATAATTTTTATATTACAAGACCCTCAAGCTACTGAGGCTCAAAGTGTCATCGTTTTTTAATTAAACGTTATTTATTGTTCGATTGAAATAGTGTTTGCCTTATAACTGCTTTCTTGTAATCTGATTAGATACAATTTACGCCAAGTGTGATAACTTTGTTCCAATGGAGGAAGATGCGCCGTTTGAATATCAGATATCAACAGGTGATGCAAAGAGTTGGTTTGATGCTGTAAGGACCTGCAAGGTAATCGATACAATAGGAACCTTTAATAGATTGGAAGTTCATGAGCTCTACATACCGTCTATCCTCTATCAAGCCCCAAGGGGTGGTTTATTTATTTCATGCACGTTTGAGATGGATGGTTTATTTAACTTAGTTAAAAGAGGCGCTATACTGCTTTTAAAACAACAAGAGGAAGGTGCCAATTCTCCAATTGGAGGTCTCATAGCCGAAAATCAAAACCTGATGAGCCCTAAAAAAGGAAAAAAAACCTTTCCCTGGCTGCCGCTGCCCGTGTGATAAGGTTTTGCGCATGAGTGAGCTACTGGCTAGGGCGTGGGTTGGTGTCGGTGCATCACTCGCTCTTAGTTTGTTTCATACCGGATCAGTCCACTCGAAGTGTTACAGTCATGGTTAATTGATACAATCTATTTTGTTTGCTTTTGAAGAATAAGGAGGAGGCGGGGGAAAACTTAATTACTTTCTTCCCCTGAAAATGAGGGTCTTATTAAAGAAAGAGGGTGCTTAATTGATAGCGGGGGCTTAATAGAGGATTTAAGGTAATCACTTGCCACACTTGTCTTACCTCTAACGTCTCTTATGCGCTGGCAAGCAACAGTAAACAATGAGAGTTCTGGAAATATAGCTCGCTTGAAATAGCACCGTTGCTCAAGAGTTCGATCTCCTGCTCAATTCTTAAGGTTACTATTAATTGAATGAAAGAGAAAGAAATGAAAGAATCCAAAAGAAAGGACTGCTAACGTGACAGGATAGAAATGCGCGTACCGTACCCACGCAAAGAGCCACCTTATAATGTGTAGCAAGTAGTAGCGCAGGAAAGTACCGCTCGGTAGTTTTCATTTGAATGGTCACACTTGAGAAAATCATTCGCAGGATCAAAAGTAAGATACAGTTTGTAAGGGACAATAAATAGTATATCACAAGGCAGTACTACTCAAAATAGTTTTGTCATTTGACCTGGACAGAGTAGCTTTCATCTGATTGGTCACACATACTAAGGTTTCTATCCAAACACTTGCAAAAGTTGGAACCAATTTGTGCACCATTATTATATTCAGACAACAGCCTTTTGGGTTTCATTTGAATTTTGATATATCGCTTCCAAGGTGAGAAGAGCTTAGAAAATTGATATAAGGTTTGCGTCTCTCAATTTAGGTCTGTGACGCAGAACTACTAAGCGTTCACACAAGAGAAGAAAACGACTTTGTCACGAAGGAGCTTCGTAAGTCTTCCGAAGTGAACAAACTGTGGATAGGTATGAGCTACTTGGAGCAAAGACGAATGTGGTCCTGGATTGACGGCTCACGCTACAGGTGATTAACTAAAGTTAAAATCACGCAAATTTCAGTTGTCAGTGGTTCAGTGATTATCAGTTGTCTTAAGTGTAGAATTTGTACCTAGTACCTAGTACTGAATGGGATAGTTTATAATCTCGTTTCCAGGGTCTCTCTTCCTTTTGTCCCTTGCAGCCCTGGGGCCCGTTTCTCGAAAGCCTTGAATATTAACGGGCCTGGAAAGCTTTTGTTGTTTGTAGTTAACATCAGTTAACAAAACAAAATGGACTGGTTTGTTAGCGAGAACCTGCGCTTTTATTCTTTAAATTTTGATTTCAATCTTTGATTTCGGGCCCGAAAAGTTACTAGGACTTTCGAGAAACGGGCCGCTGTAGCGAGGCAGAAAAGAGGACCTTTCAGGGAAACGAGGTTAACTAGTTAACCGTGAACTCTTTCTTAACAGTGAACATCAATCTGCATAGTTGATCGTACTACGTTCAAATTTACTTTGCGCGCGAAAAGGCGAAGGGCTCGCCCAAATTACTAAACTTTGCCTGGATGAAACTGCTGCTTCTTTCACTAGTAATGTAGAAGCTGCTCGTAAGATGTTTCCTCATTGGTCGCAGAAAACAATAACACATCACTGTTTATCATTATTTCCCATTGTTTCACGGTTAGGGTATCGAACAAATTGTCTGTTAGGGTTAGTAGAGGTGCTACATGACCTCTTTTACAGGCTTTCCTAGGGCTTAGTGGAGAGCCTGGGCCTTTAAAGCAGGGTACTGGAAACGAGCGAGAAGCGTGAGTGGGGGATGATGGGAACGAGCGCAGACCACGAATGGGGAGTGATGGGAAGGAAAAGGAGAGAAAGGGGATAAAATAGAAGCTCCTGATTATTTCCAAGAATTTCGACCTCTAGAGAGATTCCAGGGCTTATCGATTTAACATCAAATGTTCTAGGGAAAAATCGATTTTTCTTTTTATGTATGTATCAAAAGTAGCTTTTTACACAGCAGCAATACTAATTAAATACTCTTGTTATGCTGCATGCTTAGATACCAGAACTGGAAAGAAGGCCAACACTATGACGGTAAAGATGAGCAGTGCGGTATAATATATCAACAGTATGACTGGGGAAGATGGGATGATGACAACTGTTATAAACCCCTGGGATATATCTGCAAAAGACGTGAGTACTGCAGCTACACAAAAAGCCTGTCTTTATCACGTAGCGTGTTAATTACCTACCCCCTTTTCGGTTGGTCGGAATACTGGCCCCTAACCTGTGATTATTTTTGAGGGGGGGCGGGTTTCTGAAAAGTGCATTTCAGTGCATTTTGAGCGATAGGGAAATAAATTTTAGCCATGAGGATGACACTTCTGCTTCAATCGAACAAAATCCAAAATAATCCCAAATGATGATCCAAAATAAAATGAAATACGATAGACTTATTGTCCCACTTTAAAAAAATGATTTTTTGTGAGTAGCCGGAACACAATTTTTTTAAAACAGCTTCTCTGTTCACGCTCTTGCATGGTCAATCGTTTTCGATCACTTTTCAAGTGTAAACGTCTAAAAAGGAGGAAGGTGGTTAAGGGATTGTTGTTAAGAATTGCTAAATCATCTTTTCTAAAACTACCGATTTATATATCGCTTTTAGCAAATCAACTAAAAGATCATCCACTGTTCAAGATCCCTTACAAACGTTTTGCAGTCTAGCTCTCTGAATATTGGCGCTATAAGCCCTAGGATGTGTGCAGGGAGGTAGGAATTTTAAGGCCCGCTGCCTAGGAGAATTCCACGTGCTTTCAAGAAAGGATTTCTCCCTCAATAAGTGGAGTGATAATTGAAGTCTGTCATACACTTGCTATTCAACTTGCGGAACCATGTTCCGTAGAGGCGGTCGATGGGGACGGGATTCTATGGCTCGAGGGACAAAGAGGGAATAGTTTGTTACGAAGTGCTTGGACGCGTGCGTCTGTTTCTCTCTCGAATTTTTCAAATTAGTTAATGTTTCTCTTTTTTAATGATTTTCAGATCGTTCAAGGAATTCAGATAAATCTAACAATAGCACAAAATCAGCAAATGGGAAGAGAGGTGAGGAGCAGTTACTGGGGCAATGATTAACTGGTGCCGGAATTCTTCCATAACGAACTGATAACTACATCGGTTACAAGGCGTTTTGATACAAGTCGTTTCGATACAATTTTATTCAGTCGAGGTGTAAATAGTTTCACGTTCTTGGCTTAAAGGAAGAAGAATATTCACCCCTAATGTTTTTCGTGTTCACGCAAAAACCATACTTGAAGTGGTCAAAAGTAGTGTGCAATTTCACTGCTTGAGTTCGTATCGAAACGACTTGCATCGAAACGGCTTTGTGTTAAAACGACCGGTCTCCACTACATCTATTTCTTACTGAGTTAACGTTTCTTGAAACTCAACTAAGCTGGCATTCAGAGCACATCAGCGTGATCATAATACTTTATTAACGTGCTCTAACAAGCTTTCTCAAGGTTCTCTTGATTGACAGAAGTAACTGAAATTTCTTCCTGTGAAATTTTTAAAACTGTATCTGTAAGATGACGGTAGTCGCAAGGGAGAAATGTCGATTCTAGATTTAAGTCGTATTTCACCTAAAAATATTGTAAATTAATAGAGTGAAGGAAGGATTTCATGCAATATTTTCTCTGAAACTAGGATTAGAACTGTGAGCTAATATAAACTAAGAAATAATCATGATTACCTGAAACTAACATAATAGAAAAAAATGTAAAAGATATAGCGCATATGAACACATTTCTAGGTAGTCTCCATTTTCAAGAAGTTTTTTTCATATAACATAATGGATGTGACAGTTAAGCGAATTTCAAAGTTAAAATGGGTACATATTTTCACTGAGAAATATTTCCGAGTGCAAACAAGTAAACATCTGTATTAAAGAACCAAGCCAAATCGATATATTTCCATAATGACCTACTAATAAAGATTTTAAAACTATGGCTCTGTTTTTAATAACTTTTTAACAAACTATTTCATCCTCTTTACCGAATTTTATAGTCTTTCTGTTATGTGATATTGTAACTGACATCTAGACTACGAGTAGTCTCACATTTTTCCTCAGGGATAGTAGAGCGAGCGAAACGCGAGCGCGCGTGAAAATCACCCCACGCGAGAAAAGGCGACAAGCGGCGGGGAGAGAGAAAAATGATTTTTCTCTCTCCCCGCCACTTGTCGCCTTTTCTCGCGTGGGGTGATTTTCACGCGCGCTCGCGTTTCGCTCGCTCTACTATCCCTGAGGAAATTTGGGGCACTACTCGTAGTCTAACTGACATCAGCCTCCTTGAAAGTTCTATAATTTTCTATGTGGTATATAACAGGGTTCTCTCGAAAATGTGAAATAAAAGGTGAAAAAACATTGAGTAAGCGGCAACTGTTTCGATCGAAAGGCGTGTCTTGAACGTTGCAGATTTGTGTGTAGGGATAGGTATGGGAAGTGGGCTACTTTCTTTTTTGGGGGGGAAATCCGGGGCCTCCCCTAGGATAATTTTTATCTTGGGGTTTCTGAAAAGTGCAGTTCTGTGCATTTTGAGCTACCAGAGAAAAAAGATCACCTGTGTTTATCCACATTTGTTTGTCCCACTTAATAAGTTATTTTTAGTTTTTGAGTGGCCGGCGCCTTTGTGACAACTAAAAGGCGATTTTATCCGGTCGCCGGAACTTCTGGGAACCCTGTATATGAGTGGGGTCTTGGAGTGTACGGTTGTAAAGCTCTACAAAAGTAGGTTTGCGGAAGGGTTCGTTTTCTATTCGAGTCGCTATTTGCTAATTATTTTGAATTTTCCTTGTTAATTACAGTAATTCGTCCATTTTTTATCCCCCGTCGATCTATTTAATTCGTTCCCATGTCTACTAGCTTCTACTGTTAATGTAACGTTGCAGGGTGCCCAAACATTTCTCCAGAGTGCCCCTCCCTGTGCAAGATTGTTAGGATTCCCGGATCTTGTCCCCAGTGTGACTGTGGTCCTCTTGTGAAAGGTTTGTTGTCTCACTGAAGAGATTTCGGAAGTGACTAAAGATACTGACTCCATCCCCTGCTGCTCCGATTGTATTGCCAGTAAGGTTAATATTCCTAGCGCGCCTTCGTGTATCTTCCAGAGCATATAAAAGTGAATAGAAACTGAGCAATTTTTCTTAGAAGAAAAAAAAAAATAAAGTGGGAGTATACCTCAGTGAGCGATTGCGGGGGGAAATGGTCTTTCCAGCGCTAACCGAATGCCCGTAAATTTGGGCAACTCATTTTTCATGTACCTGCGTGTTTGTTTGTTTGTTTGTTTGTTTTTTCATCCGAGTGACATGTTGTTTCCCAATGGCACGTGTTTACATGGATACAAAGTTATTGTCTTTTTTTAATTAGGTTATGACGCTATGAGCGATAAGGAGCGATCAAGGGTTAGAAACCTGTTCTCGGAGGCTAACCGTCAAATGCACGAGGCTAGACGGGCTGGGATCACGCGTGCACGGACCATTCGTCGTTCTAGAATCATGATGGAAGCAAACCGGTTACAAGCTGAAGCAAGGACTCTTCAGGAGATGGCTAACATTGAAGGGATCCCTCTAAATTTGCCATTCCAACCTCCCCCACTATCCCTGCGAAGGGAAACGATTTCAAAGCCAGAAATGAACATGGCTAGAGAAATTGCGGTCTTAATGAACGATATCGAGAAGGCCGAACAAAAACGCGAGAAAAGGATTTAATATGATGAGCCACGCCCCTTGGAGTTTGTGGAACACTTGATCACGCTTTGAGTAGAACACTCGATCAAGTGAGGCAGAAATCATTGAACTTCATTTTCTACTAAATAAAAAGTTGAGGTGTTTGGGAGGGTCTAAATGGGTTTTATCGTAACTGAAGTTGCGTTCTGAGTTTCAAATGTTCTTCGGCTAGCGCTGTGTTGAGAACGAAGAAACAATACCTGTGTGTACATAAAACACTGAAACATTCTTCGTGTTAATAATACAAATGAAAATTAGCTTAATTGATGGTTTTTAGATACAAACAAAAACTGGACACGTTACCCCTACCTCTAATGCTATTTTCATCAGTGTGTTGGAGGAGATGGAACAAAGGTTTTGGTCACGAAATTTTGTAATTTCATAAATAGGATTTATATGGAGTGAATAAATGACAAAGGTTTTACGTTGGTGTCGGTGCTCTGTCCTCAAAAGTAACTATGCGTAAACTATGATTTTTTGAGTCTCTGCACGCGTGACGAACCCCTAAGAACGTTTGCGTGGGAGGCTATCTAAGGGCTATGGGAAATATTAAAAAAAATAAGGTTTTCATGCGGTTTTTTTTGTAT